TTATATGAAAATACGTGGAGCCAATCAAACTGGTGATGTACCTGCAAATTATCGTTGTTACAAATGTCATCAACCTGGACATTGGATTAAAAACTGTCCACTTGGAACAAACCAAGAACCTATAGAAATTAAAAAGAGTACAGGTATTCCTAGAAGTTTTATGGTTCCAGTTGAAGGACCAAGGGTTCCTGGTGCTATGATGACACCAACAGGCCAATATGCTGTACCAGCTATTGATCAGTAAGTTTTCAATATATTTTTAATATATTTAATATAAAAAGAACTTAGTAAAATTAATAAGTATGTTGTATAGTTTTAATTATTTTGTGTAATAAATATTTGTTTCACTTTTAGCCAAGCTTATAAAGAAGGTAAAAAGGAACGTCCACCATTTTCACAAGATCCAGAACCTGCTGCGGAGAAACCAGAGATTCCAGAGGATTTATTATGCAATATTTGCAAAGATCTTTTGACAGATGCAGTAATGATTCCATGTTGTGGAAATTCATTTTGTGATGAATGTAATTTATTTTTATTTTTAGTATCTTTGTAATTGTTACAACCTAACATTGGTTTTTAATATATTTTCGTGGTATTTTTACAATAGGTATTCGTACATTCTTATTAGAATCTGAAGAACATGAATGTCCAGACTGTAACGAAAAAGACGTTTCGCCAGAAACTCTTATTCCCAATCGCTTTTTACGAAGTGCTGTAATGAATTTTAAGAATGAAACTGGATATGCTAAAAGACAGACATATAGGCAGCCTATGCAAACAAACAGACAATCTGCAATACAGTTAGAACAACAAAAAGCTGATCAACAGGTTACAAATCAGACATCAAACCAAAGTAAATCTACTCAACCTTCAAGTGTAACAAATACGCCCACTCAAGAATATGCAGAATCACAATCTGCAAATTTTGAACCAACTCAACAGCAATTTCCAACTAGAACTACACAACCACAAGCAACAAGTAAGCAATATTTTTACATGTAATAAATTTATATTTCTATAAAACAAAATGCAGTTTATTATTTTAATCTTTAGTTATAATAGAAATTTAGAATTGAAGCACTGAAAAAAC